GGGCCGAGCCCCCTCCAAGCTGCCCGGCCTCCATCTGGAGCTGTACCCACCCCGCCCTTTACCCCCACCTCTCCGCTCTTTGCTCTCTGACCCTCAGGTGAGCCGCTCTGCCTGTTTGATGACAACACAACTGATCTGTAAATTGTTGCGGTCCAGGGAGGCAGCTGCAGCCGTAGATGTCAGGGCGTGGCCCCCCATACTGGACACAGGTTGGTCCTCGAACTAGCCCAGTTGTTTGTTTGCTTAAATGTTTTTCTGTTAAGTCAGAGATGCTAACAGCTTTGTTTTGCTCTCCAGATGATTTGCCAAAGAAGCGGCCCGCCCAGATCTACAAACCTTCCAACCCAGACACGCTAGCCTATCTTGATTTTAGTGTGTCCACAACTGGGATGCTAGCTGGAGTGAAGGTGAGAAATGCAGTCTGCATCACGTGTAGTTAGCAGACCACACGGTGATGGTCAGTTTTCATTCTTACACACATGGGGCTCTGGTGGGGCCTGGCAGCAAAATATGGAGAGAGGCACACTTGTGCGTTTTGTTTGAGCCATGAAATGCATGACTGTTTCAGTAGTTAGCGAGGCTGACTGGTTCCTTCTAAATGCTCCAACTGCTTTGTGAACACAGCCTCACTAGTCCCTGATAAGAAAAACTGCTTATGTTTTTCTTTCTTGCTGGTTCTCAAATCCCACTATCCTGTCTATTACAAAACTCTGTACGCTTGGAGTCCTTGCCTTTTTAACGCGGATCTCATGGTAACTCGCCAGGATGCTGCTCGTTGCGGCCGCAGTGATCCTTCTTCCTGGTGAAGCTGGAACCCGCTGTGTGTGCCACCAGAACTAGGGCCCTGACAGCTCAGGCGATGTCCTTGTCAAGGGACCGTCAACAAGTTCTCTGCCCTCAGGAATCCCTTCCCTATTACCCGGCTCCGAGTTCTGACTGCTGAGTTCGCATAGTTTTCCTCATTTAGTTCTCTTACTTCATTGACATTTCCCCAATTTTTAAATTGCAGCAGAATACGCGTAACATAAATTTACCACTTAACCCACTTAAGCGAACTGTTCAGTGGTGCTAAATACGTTCAGAATGCTGTCACCACCACTCATTCCCACAAGCCATTTCATCTTATGGAGCTGAATCTCTTTCCCACTAAACACTGACTCTTCCCTCAGCAACATCCGCTCTGTTTTTTGTCTGTTTTTGGTTGTTCTGGGCACCATACGTATGTGGACTCATACATGTCTTCTCACATCTGCTTATTTCACCGAGTGTGGTATCTTCAAGTTTCATCCACATTGAAGTATATATCAACTCCTTTTTAAGGCTGCGTTCCTATTTCACGGTACATACAGACCACATTTTGCTATCCGTTCACCCGTCAACAGACACTTGAGTTGCTCCCACATTTTAGCTGTTGTGAGTGATGCTGCTGTGAACGTGGGTGCACAGACGTCTCTTCAAGACCTTGCGCAGTTCGTTTACATGCATTCCCAGAAGTGGAGTTGTTGGGTCAGAGGGTAGTTATGTTTTTCATTTGGGGGGGTTGCCATACTGTTTCTCACTGTAGCCGTCCCATTTTACTGCCTCACCAGCAGTGCACAGTTGCAGTTTCTCCACATCCTTGTCAGCACTTAACTTATTTTCTGTTGTTTTTTTCAGTAGTGGTCATCCTAATGGATGTGAAATAGCATCACATTGTGATTTTGATTTGCATTTCACTGAAGATTGGTGATGCTGAGCATCCTTTCATGTGATTATTTGCCATTTGTATCTTTTCTTTGAGAAATTTCTGTTCAAGTCCTTTGCCATTTTGAATGCATTGTTTCCTTGTTGAGTTTTATAAATTCCCTATGTATTATGGGCATCACTCCCTTGTCAGATAAACGATTTACAAGTATCCCTGCAGGATGTCCTAGTGCTTCCCAGGTCTGCTTCTGGAGCACGCTCCTGCTCACGGCAGCTAGTGTGAGCCGATGTGTGCCCCAGGCGTGGGCACTCCACGCCAGCCAAAGCAGGACCGTGGTGGCAGGGAAACCTGCTAAAAGCGTCACAGACACATCCTTAAAATAAATATCCTGGCTTCATCCCTGACTCCTCCACCTGCTCTCAGGGATGTGTCTGCTCTCAGTGTCTCCTTCAGAGCAGTGTTAGAGTTTGTTGTTTTGGGCTTTTGGAAAACTAATTCTTTATCCAAGTACAAGGTTGTGGGAGTCTCTCTTACTAAAAGATTCTGGAAAGGCATTCCAGCTTGGGCTCTGTGATGTTGACAGGTCCAAGATTGGAATGAACTCAGGGATCAACATTCACCTTTCCTAGTTGCTTTTTTCTTAACCTGTTAGCTTTCTGGTCACTACACTGAAATCCTTGCCCCTGAGAGCCCAGACACCTCTGAGCCCCACCCCCGGGGGGTGAGGATGGCCCTCTGTTGTCTCTGACCTGGTACTCGCCGGCCCTGCAGTTGTCAGGTCTCCCAACTTCCCAGTAGATGGCAAGCTCCTGAGGGCAGAGGCCACGTCCTCCTTTCCACATCCCAGTCGCTGACCCGGTGCCCGACGCACACAAGTGCTCTGGCAGCATGTTAGTGCCTGCTGAGCTGAGCTGGAGTTCATTTCTCAAGCTGTGAGTGGCACCTGCACCGAGCAGGGTTCACTGAAGGTCTGTTTCAGATGCTGATCTGAGAATGTGGATCGTTCTGGCAGTTGGGATCTTACTGACTCCTCCTGATGCTGCAGGCAGTAGGTTGGAGGAATGTTTGATAAACCTAGCCTCATTTCTTCTTTAAACAAGTGTTGTGGCTTTGAAAACAAACTGAAAAGAACTGCTCATGTGTTAGATTGTAGAGTAATCTTACATTGCCTTGTATGAACTCAGTAAAATATCCACGACGAAGCTGTCTTCTGGGCAGGGCTTCGCACAGCGACCCGACAAGCGAGGATGCATGTCTCTCCGCAGCTCTGGGTCTCTCTTCTCTTTCCCTGCAGTGGCTGGTGAGCGCTCTCCCATGCCTGTGGCTGGATTCCCGGGACTCTGTGCTGCCCCACCTTGGTCCCTTCCGCAGCCCAGCCCTGGGGGCGGGGGGCGCACGCCGCACTGGTGGGAGCGTGTTCAGGACCGTGAACTTGCGCTACCTTGACTCTCCCCACCTCCCCGGATCCTACTGACTAGAAAGCCTCTGTGAGAAAGCTGGTTTTCATTGGCTTCATTTTACAGTGCTCTAACAGAATTCCCATCACATACTGACTGTAGTGGGACTGGTTCTTGGGATCGGAGAGGCTCTTTCCTGTGGCCTCACGGAGAGGGAGTGAGGTTGGGTCTTGCTGCCGTCGGATGGCCGGCACGCCTCAGTGCACAGGCGTGTGTGGTCTGCAGCAGACCTTTACCTTTTGAGCCTCGTTTCCTGATCCTTGAGACGGGAGTCGGACGTGCAGTGCGCTCTGCTGGCGCCCCTGTGGCACAGCGGGTGCGGTGCTGGTGGGCCGCGGAGAGGGATGCAAACGCTCGTGCACCCCCGACTTCATGGGGTGCAGGGGCCGTTGCAGCAGGACCGCCACTCAAGTGCAAGACGTCCTCACTTCGCTTCCTAGGGTTTCTAGGTGCCGAGGGACCCGGAAGGTTTGCTTGTGGTTTGCTGGTTGAAAGTGAGAAGACTAATGAGAATGCCAGCAGCCCGCTCTCTGCTAACAGAGCCAAAGCTTGGCCACAGTGGCCCTCTGTTCTGGAGTCACCTGTGGGCGTCGGACGCCAGGTCCTGTGCACCTGGTGTGGCCTGTTCTGTTCCAGGTGTCCCTGAGTGGGTGTCTGTGCACTGATGCGGCCTTGCTGTCTTGCAGATGTCGCACGCAGCCACCAGTGCCTTCTGCCGTTCCATTAAGCTGCAGTGTGAGCTCTACCCCTCTAGGGAAGTGGCCATCTGCTTGGACCCTTACTGTGGACTCGGGTTTGTGCTCTGGTGCCTCTGCAGGTGAGTTTCCTCTTGTGGGTCTTTACAGTGATAAACACACCACACAACCTTTTCCACACCACTTGTGGAGGAATGCTAGTGTCTGGGGAGGGCCGCCGCCTGCAGGAGGGGCTGCTTGCAATGGGGCCTCCCCTCAGCCCTGCTCCCAGGGTGCCGGGGAGCGCTGGCTGTGGTCTCCATGTCCTCCGTGGAGCTGCTGAGGCCAGCAGAGATGCAGTCTGCACCCATTCCCAGAAGCTGTCTGTGGGGAATCCGTCAGGAGATAGTTTATCAAAAATAGCAAAAACCAATAATTACTTGAAAAGATTCTTAACGCTTACTAGGAAAGGCAGACTAAAGCCAGTGAGATACAACTTCACACCCACTGAAGGCTGTAACCAGAAAGACAAAAAGTAATGAAGTTAGAAGACTCAGATTCCACGCTTTCAAAACTGTGCTGTAAAGCATGGTAACCAGGGGTGTGCAGAAGCTGCAGTTCTCACACATTGTCATGGGAATAGAAAATAGTGAAACCACAGTTTAGCATGTCCTTAAAAATTAAACAAATCTACCACATGACCAAAAAGTTCCTCTCCTGGGTATCTACCAAAGAGAAGGGAAAACGTATGTCCATACAGGCTAGAGGCTTGAAATGTTAATAACAGCCTTCATTAAAAAAAAAACAAAAGGAAACAATCCAAATATCCACCAGCTGGTGGATGGGTTTGTCGTACCCACACAGTGGGATTCAGCTACAGCATGGATGGACTTCAGAAGCATTGTGCCACGTGAAGCGCGTATGATGTGATTGTATCACATGGTGCCGTTGATGGAAATGTTCAGAAAAGGCAGATCCGTAGAGATGGAGAGCAGGCCGGCTGACTGGCCAGAGCTGAACGCGGGGCTGACTGCAGGGAATCGAGGCGCACCTTAGGGGGACGGAGTGTTTCACAGCTGCGTTGCGGTGGCTGTGGGGACCAAGTTCTTTCAGTTCTCTGCTGAAAATGGGCAGGTTTATGTTACGCAGATTACATCTAAGTAAAAGAATTTTTAAAAAGAAAACACCTTTCCTTGCGGTAGCTGGAGTGCAGGGTGCCCACACGAGCCTGCCAATTCAGGAGGCTGACCCACGTGACACCCGCAGGGTGACGTGTGATCGTGAGTCACACGACTGCCTTGCTCAGGGTGCCCAAGCTGCAGTAGTACCTATCTTTGTATGTTTCATTAGGCTAACACTCTGAAATCATTGAATCGTTCCAAATGTGCAAATTTATGTTAGTTACCAAAATGTCTTTTTTCCTCTCCTGGTCAACCGTGTTTTATTTTTCTTTTTTCATCTAGACTGTATTCTTCAGAACAGTATTAGGTTCCCAACAAAACTAAGTGGAAGGTACAGAGATTTCCCATACATGCCCTGCCCCCAACAGCTTTCCCCATTATCGACATCTCCCGCCAGAGCGGTACATTTTCTACAATCTAGGAACCTACATTGACGCATTACCATCCCAGAGTCCATAATTTACATCGGGGTTCACGCTTGGGGTTGCACAGAGCCCAGAAATAGACCCATGTGTGAACAGTCAACTGGTCTTCACAGAAGCTCAAAGGCAGTACAGTGGAACAAAGATGATCTTGTCAACACGTGTTGCTGGAACAACTGGACATCCACATGGAAAAAAATGAATCTAGATGCAGATGTTACAGCCTTCACAAAAGTCAGCTCAGAATGGACCATAGACCTGAATGTGAAGCATGAAGCTATGCAGCTCCTGGAAGGTCACCTAGGAGAGGTCTCAGCGAGCTTGGGCTCAGCAGTGCCCTCTTATACATGACACCAAAGGCATGGCCCACGAAAGAAGGAGCTGACAGGCAGGACATCGCTAAAATGACACGTTTCTGTTCAAGACCCTGTTGAGAGAACAGAAAGGCAGGCCACAGCCTGGAGAAAGCGTTTCCAAAGAGCTCTTTAAATTATTTTACTGCTTTTGAAGTTAAGAGCTAAACTAGGATAGCTCAGGTTCCAGAAAGTCACAGGAGATACTCTTCACTGTGCGCAGCCGGCCGTTAAGTGTGTGTGGGGGGGTGTTCGTTGCCAAGAGATCAGTGTTGGTTAATAAAGGAAACAACGAGTCAATTTCTGTTGGATTAAGCCAAAAACAGGCAAGTAGAAAACTGATGAGTCAGATTTTCTGTTTGTCCTCAATTATTAGGATTTAATGATTTTTTTTTAACGTTGACTTCCATCCTCCTTAGGAGCGTGAGGAAGGAGGTGAAGCTGTGTCTGATTTTCACAGGTGTGCTTCTGTTCTCCAGCCGTGAGCTCCAGCCCTCTCATGTGCTGACGGTCTGATCAAGGACGTCACTTACCCTGATGTATGTTCTTGAGAAAGCTGGCAGTGGGTGATCTGTATTTCGCTTTCTTCATCTTGGACCTCCTCATGATGGTATTTACAAAGTAAAACGCTGGGAATCACATGAAAGTGATAGGCAGTCATAATGAAGAAGACTGTTAGCACTGTTGACTCCCTGAGATACGGGGCTCCAATGTCATTAACTGGATTTGGTCCCAGCCTGAAACTGTAAAATCCTGGATGACAGAGTAGCTATGTAAATTGGCACTGCAATAAAAGTCATGCAGGGAAATGCAATTCAGGTGTTACTGTTAACCCTGATTCATGAACGGGTTGAGTAACACTTGATGCTGACAGAAAACCGTGCCCCAACACTTGCCAGCGGTAAAAGGCATGTTTCCCGGTGGATAATTACGATTTATATGTCATGTGATGCTCAGGTTTGTTAGATTTTGGGCTGTTAACCTGGTGTTACGATCCCATTTTTGACTCAGGATGTTCTTTCAATAACCATTCCGCAGAGGTAAATTTTCCATTATTTTTATTTCTTCCTGCTTAATGCTGCCTCGAGGCTTCTGATTGCAGTTTGCTCTAACTTGGGGTCATGCAGATGTGGTGTGCAGACTGATTCCTGAGGACCGTGCTGCCAAGGGCAGAGGGTCAGACTGCCCCTGTGGAGCAGAGCAGAGCACAGCCTCCGGGGAGCCGTCCTCACGGGGACACCGGTGCTTGCACCAGGGTTCTCGAGGCAGGGGTCTTTGCGACCGAAGGGAGAGTGCTGGGTCCCTCTTAGCTCTCATGGCCCCTGGAAAAAGACGACGTGTCCAGACATGGCCCGCAGGACCTCTATGTGAGGGGCAGCCCCGGATGCACTGTCGGGGCTGAAGGGTGTCAGTTTGTCTTCAGGGCCCGAGGTGTGTTCTTGGAAGGTTGAGAGCAGTGTGCTGGTGTTCATCTGGCTTTCTCAATTAGATGGCAGCTCTGATTTTAAAGCCCCTCAGTGTGGAACACAAGGACTTGCGGATGAAAGTTTGTTTTCACAAGCTGCGAGGGCTAAGCTGAACGTGTATGCAAGTGTGTTCGATAGGGTGTTACTTTCAGTAAGCAGTTGTTTGACCAGAGTGTCAGTATTTTGAAACGTAGATGTATTTGTTGTACTATTATTTGCTCTCTTGAGTAAGTGATCTTTAAAGGCCTAAATTAGTTTCCCAAGGACGAATCTTAGAGAAAAGTTGACAGAATTTTGAGTTACAGTTATTGGAGTAGGATCTTACTGACTTTTATACATTGACCGTACAAATAATTTTTATGCCTTTCCATGGGGCTCCATTGGAGTGTGCAGTTTTGTATATTATGTGCCTAACAAAACTTTCACATCAGCAGGATTTCTCAGGAAATGTGGAAGTCTGGGGCGTGATAATCCCTTCTCCTGATTACTGAGAGCAGTCAGTACGTCCTCAGAGCTCTTTGAAGTGCGTCTGAACTCGATTGAGACCCAGTTCTTACTCTCTTCTAGAGTTTCACTTAGTTCTTTAAATATAGGCGTCCCTGTTTTCAGATTATCAAATTTTATTACTCAGAAGGATTAAGTAAAATCCAAAAAATCCCCAAATCCCCACTGACAGAATTTCCACCTGATTATCCAGCATGCTTCCTAGAATAACACTTACGTTTCATCCCCACACATTGGTGGTTGGTCGTCTGATGTTTTGATATATTAAACTCCAGTAGGAGAATCTAAAGCAAATGTATGACTTAGGTTTTCCAGGACAGGAGTGTGTGTGTGTGACATTCTGTGGGAGCGAGTGTTGTGAGAACTGGCAGGCGGGGGGAGGGATGCCTGTGTCCTGTGCCTGCCCCACCCCTGTTAGCCTCCTGGTGTGTTTGCTCCTGTGCACTTCCTGCTTCACAGCTGTGGTCGTAGTTTGTGTGTGGTTCCACATCTT